ATCTTTCACTATTGAAATTGATATATGCTGTGGCTCCTCATAGATAGTCTTTATTATGTTGAGGTATATTCCACACTCTGTCTGTTTAGGGTTTTAAATATGAAAGGATGTTGTGTGTTTTCATTTGCATTTCCAGAGTCTGTTGAGATAATCATGGTATATTATCTTTGATTCTATTGGTATATGACATTTACTGAGTTGTGTGTGTTGAATGAAACTTGCATTGTAGACATAAATCTCACTTGGTCCAGCGGTCTACTACTTCAAGGTGTTATTGAGTTTGGTTTGCATTTTTGTGAAGAATTTTTGCATTGCGTCAGGGCTATTGGTCTATAGCTTTTTGTTTGTTTGTTTTTAATTTGTATCAATTAACCAACATAGAGTACCCCATTAGTTTCAGATGTAGAGTTCAGTGATTCATCACTTGCATGTAACACCCAGTGCTCATCACTTCACATTCCTTCCGTAATGCCCATCACCCAGTTACCCCAAGGCCCATGCACCTCCCTTCCAGGAATCCTCAGTTTGTTCCCTATAGCTGCGACTCTCTCATGGTTTGGCTCCTTCTCTGAATCTTCCCATTCACCTTTCCCTGCTTACAAATAGCAAAAACCCCACAAATAGCCACAGATACCAAAGAGCGTACGGGAGACAAAACTTGAACAAAGGGCCAGCAAAGGGAATAAGGTTTCTAGGTTTCTGTTTATTTTTGTGCCTTTTGTTTCTGCAACAGCCCTTCCCGTTGTGGGGCTGTCCTCACATCTCACAGAATGTGTTTGGGATCCCTGGCTTCTTCCCACCCTGATAGCTTGTGACAAACAGAAATGCTCCCACATATTTCCAGGCCACACTCAGAACCAGTTTCCTAGCACCATTTGGGGTCTTGGGGAGCAAGGACCCTGGCTAAACACCCATCCCACCAAACTCTGTCCTCAGTGGGCTCCGCTCCAGTGTTGTTCCTCCAACAGGTCACCAGGCTGCTTTAATTGAAGTCATTTCATAGGATGCTTTCTTTTGGGATCCTCTGAGGCACAGACTGAGATTTGCATGGGGACTGGGAAGGACCTTCAGGAACACCCCTGTGAGGGAGTGATGGCAGCTACTCTGGGAAGAGGAGGAAACTGAACTGCAATGACAGGGCAGTAAGACCCACAATTCATCAAACAGGGAGCTAAGGAGCTGGGCTGCCCTTCAAGTTGCTTTAACTTGAGGCAGTTTCGCTGCTGGAGTTGGAATGCAGGGTATCAGCTGTGGCCCTGCACGCGAAGGACACACTACCTGCACTGCTGCATGTTTTGTTTGTTCCTTGATTCACTTTTTTGATGAAAGAAAGGCAAAAGAAAGATGAGGAGTATTTGTCTGAGTCCATTCAGGCTGCCATCACAGGACAGCACAGACTGGGTGGCTTATAACAGCAGACAGACATTTCTCACAGTTCAGAGGCTGGGAAGTCCAAGGCAATAACACCAGGATTTCGTGTCTGGAGAGAATCCCCTTCCTTCCTGGTCATCTCACTGTGACCTCATATGGCAGAAGTGGCAAGGGAGCACAAGGCAGCTTTGACTAGGGCACTAATCCCAGTTGTGCCCACCTCCTCACATCGTCACCATGGGGCTCAGGATTTCAATGTACGAATTTCTTGTTGACACAAACATCAGCCCATGGCACTACACTTCTCCCCTACAATTTCATTGTGGTGGCAGGGGGAAAGGTGGAGTGGGAAATGTGGGGTGGGAAATGTGGGGAGTATTGGACAAAAGCCCATGAACAACTGCAGTGTGTACTCACCAATTTGAATATGTTTATTCGTTGTCATTTTTCATGTTCAGGAAGTATTATAATCCTCACCTTTGAGATGAGGAAATGAGGACCCGAGGCTAAGAGCATGATTTCCCAGGCTCCCAGTTAGGAGAAAGAACTATTATTCCAGTTCTCACGCTTTCCACCAGAACCATCTCACATGTTTTCATGCTATGCAAGACATTACCTTTCAGTGGTGAATTAAAATCTTTGTTTTTATCCTCTGGTGTTCCAGCTCTCTATGGCTGGGCAATGTGTGTTGGTTCATGATCAAGGGAACACTATCTACCAGAAAGTGATAGATCAGTGGAGTTAGGACTCCATGGTTTCTCTGAAAGTACTCCCCGCTGTTCTGGAAGTGTGTGACCTGTCTTGATATATAATCATACAGTGTCTACCTTTGCTGCCAGATATGTATGCTCTCCCAAGGACAAGCACTGTGAGCTACTGGAGGTCATTGCCGAGCTTGTTTTGTAACAGTAAGAATGGGCTAGCACATGATTATTGAAATATTGAAAATCCATATTATCCTTCTTCCTGAATCCAAGAATGCATCACTTGGCTTCTTGGCGAAGATATCTCTGGACTTTGTGACAGTACAATCCATGAACTCTTACTTTGTATCTGTAAGAGCTGTTCTGGATCACTCTTCCTGGTTTTACCTCAAGTAGGAAATGTTCATGTAACCCTTTCCTTGGGTTTGCCTTAGGCCACTATGTATCCACTTTTTATCCTATGGCATCCTTGCTGGCACAAAAAGATGAGGTAAGCAGAATCTGGAGGCATTGTGCAAAGCTGCAGGTGGCAAATACTGAATGCTTTGGGAGGTGGAGGCCAGGAAACTTGGAAAGACCTGTTGAACTCCCAAGGACTGTGGTGTAGTGATTGAGTCAACTACATCTGGTGCCAAATTTAAGGGGGCACCCATTTCTCAGTAATTGGGTAAATAATGGTTTAATGCAGTCCTTAAAAAATAAAAATTAATGTAGACAAAACCCATAATAAGTAAAATATCCACATATTAGATTGGACAGTGCTTTTGATCCAGGTGACAATATCCATGTCACTATGATTTGAAATTCTAACTTAGTATCCTTCTCCAATATTTTTTTAAGAAGATTTACTTTCTTATTTGAGAGAGAGCATGTTGGGGAGGGTCAGAGGGAGAGGGAGAATCTGAAGCAGACTCCCTGCTGAGGGGAGAGCTCATATGGGGCTCCATCTTACCATTCTGAGATCAAAACCCAAGATAAACCAGGAAGCTGACACTCCTCTGACTGTGCCACCAGACACCCCTCCAATATTCTTGATCTTCCTTCAGAAAATGATATCCCACTTCCTACTGTACTGAATGGCTATATCACAAAGACTGGAAGTGACTCATACTAGTGAGGACATGGAGAAATAGGAATCCTTTCCAGTGGTGCTGATGTAAGATAGAGTCCTTGAGAGGAGTTTGGCATTTCAACTTGGAGGTCTCTACCGAAAAGAAATGAAAAAAAAAAAAAAAACATGTCCCTTCAATGACTTGTTCGTGAATGTTCTTAGTGGTATCATTCAGAATAGCCAAAAGCAGAAGTTATGTGTTTTGGTACAAGGACAACAAAATACATGGAAGGAGTCGTGCTTGAGCCTGGCACATATTGACTATATAGCTGGAAACGGCTAGCTCTTATATGAGTAATATGTTTATGGGGTGTCTGGGTGGACCAGGGCCCTTTATATCCTTGTATAAAGCTACAGCTTGGGAAAAAAATGAGGTGTGTTTCTTAGGAAAGATAAACAGAGCGAAGGTCAGTGGAAGTCAAGGCACACGAGGCAGCCAGCAACCGCAAGATGGACTGAAACACATAGCCATATGAAGCGGGCCTGCAGAATCTGATGGATGGCCGCACCCACACCCCCACACCCCTGCAGGCCTGCACTGACTGCCCTGCTTCCTCTCAGCCAGCCTTACTACCAGAAACCCAGGGGATACATGAGAAGGCAAAGCTCCAGGAGCAGCGATCAGCAGTTGGAAAACATAACTCAAAAATATCCTCCTCCCAATAGCTAGAAATACCACAGGGGCCTGCTTAGGGTAAACTCTGGAGGAAATAAGCGAAGCATGGATAAGGCCCCAGTCTCTGTACCAAATGACAGGAAAGAAAATACAAATTAATGCTGAGGGTACAAATATCTCTGAATGGGAAGACTCAATTAGTGTTAATGCCAGTTTTTAAATGACTTTTTAGGAATAAAGCAGTACTCAGCAACATTTCTTTTTTTTATTTTTTAATTTTATTCTACTTTTTCTGTGTTCCAAGATTCATCGTTTATACACCACACCCAGTGCTACATGGAATACGTGCCCTCCTTAATACCCACCACCAGGCTCACACGTCCCCCCATCTTCCTCCCCTCCAAATCCTAGGTTTGTTTCTCAGAGTCCACAGGCTCTCATGTGTCGTCTCTCCCTCCAATTTCCCACAATTCACTTTTCCTTCCCTTCTCCTAATGCCCTCTGTGTTATTCCTATACAACTTGTCATGATGTTTATTAACTTATTTAAGAAATTATGGCATGGTTATGGGAAAAGTACATCATCAGAAAAATAAGTTGGCTCACGTGCATGAAACTGGGACGAGGTCATGTCTCTGAATTTATTAAAATGCCTACTTAAAATGGTGGCTCTTTGATCAACGGTCTTGGGTCAATTTGTTATGTGTGAGAAAAATATCGTTTTCTTACAACATAAGAGAAAGAAAGATAGGATTTATGAATGCATGAAAATACTTGTGATGGCAACACTCAAAGTCAGACACAAAACCTAAAAGCCATAAAATGAAAGGTTGACTCACTACATAAAAGTTAAAACCTTACATATGAAGAAAGGCCGTAAGTAACTTTTTTTATAAATGACAAGACTTCTATTATAAGATGTAAATTGATCACATATTATGACCTCTTTTTGGCCCAAGACCTTTGGAATTTCTGGACATAAAATTAAAACTCTTCCCTAATTATATGCCAAAACCAAGAGGAAACCCTCTATCGAACAGACACTGGGGGATCCCCGCCAATGGACAACAGGCCACAGATGGCATTTGGTGGAGAGTTGGAATATTCATAGTTATTCATCACACAGGTTTTCCAGTAATGATTCAGTGACAGTCAAAGATGAACATGGACAATTCAATATGTTTCCTTCTGACAGTGCTTTCTTAAAGATCTGTGCTTTTCTTCACATTCTAGTCTTCATTCATGTCCCAGGTGAACTCCAGGGGAAAATCTTTCATCTCCCTTTGGAAAATCTTGTCAAACCTTTCATTCTGCTCAACAGTCAGGTGATTTTTCCAGTCTCCGATGGTACCTGGGAGGGAAAACAAGGCAACTGCATCAGGGAAGATTCTGCGGAAGAGGTAGCTTGATACCTTAGTGGTGATGGGAGAAGCATTGCTGGCACTCTCCTTTTTCTCCCCATAAGGGTCCTCACTTACTCCTGCACACGGCCACGCCCTGTCACTCTCTCACCTCCTGGCCAGGGGACAACCTCATCCTGGCAGTTCTGGTGTAATTGAAGATCATTAGCCCAACTTCTCAGCTGGCAGCCAGCTGGAAAAGAAGAAAACCCTGGCAACTTGTTTACTATTGCGTTCCAGGCTAGCTTGGGCTCTGGTAGTTTTCTGAACTCCTTTAAAACGTCCATAGAATCACATATCGATGAGCTAACATTTATTGATGAGGACACGGATGCTCAGAGAGACTTGGAAAATGCCACCTGTAGTCCTACACTTTGGATCAGCTCACCTGTAGTTACTCCTTTACCCACTTTAGGTTCACAACAGTCTTACTTTAAACTTCTAGACACGGAGGGCTGATGACACACAGAAGATGACAGAAGCAGAGGCAAGAAAAGAGACACTGATCTTCAAACACACTGCACTGTAAACAATAACAGAAACAAATGGAAACTCTAAGGAAACTGGAGACACAAACCACAACAGTGCAGGATGCTCACGCTGGTGCAAATGAAGTCCCGCCCCGTTGCACCTCACCGAAGAGAAGAGTGCATGTGAGCGCACAATAAACATAAGGGGTCGCAAGTCACTTCCACAGGTGGTTTGACTCCTCCTAGTTTCCCTCTTAGCCATTCCAGTCTGTCATTTTCAGGTGTGTGAAAGATGGAGGAACACAGAACATTTTCTCTTTTCAAAGAGAAACAAGTCGCAGGTGCAAGGACAGGGCTGTTGCGAAGGGCCTTAGCATCGACAACAGGGTAGAGTGTGTGGGGCATAACGGGAAGGCAAGTCCCCACCTCAGGTGGGCTCCCAGGTACCAGTGGTCATATTTTCGAGTTGAATAAGAAAAGACATAGGAAGAGATTAAGTGAAGGAAATCCTAATTTAGAGAAATCAAAGCGAATATTTCTTGCTACTTGACATAGAGGCATAGAACCCTATGACTGACCATAAAGTTTATGTTTCTCATTCTGTATTATATATTTTCCATGTTTTAAAATCATAAAATATCATTAGAGTGATGGTATAAAATAAAAAAAATTTAACTTGTTCCAATGTATGAGTTATATAAAGAGTTACTCATTTAAAATCCCAGTCACCAGAAGTATCAGATATTTCCTATACCTTTCTATGATGTAAAAATTTGGTTTCCTAGAGGACACATGACAGTCCTGCCCAGGAACAAAAGTGCAGTGAATGTGTGTTCTTAAGTCATCCCTGGAGGAGCTTGAGGGTAAAGCGCAGAGAAGGAAGAGCAGCCAGTGAGGGCCACAGACCTGTCATTAACTCTCCAACAGGAGCTGAGCGCACGCTAATGATGGGAAGCAATCTAACACTAAATGAACAACCAATTGTGGAGACATTGTGCTAGGAATCGGCAGATTGTCAGGGGGCCATGAAGAAGACCTTGTGACTATAAGTTACTCACTAGATTCATTCAGAGAACAAATAACAGAGTCTCCTTGTAGAACACCAGAAGAAATCATAGGAAATCATCTTTCTAGCCAAATGAACAGGCCCACGAGGGCCTATGATGTTAGGAAAGTCCACCAACAAGCTTAAAAGCTACAATCTGGCCCATTGCTATCTCAGGGCAACATGGCTGCTCACTGTTCACCCTCACCTTTGCGAAGGAAATGACCTTTTACATTCGGCCCATATCCAGTGGCCATTATATTGTCATAATTTGCCAGTGGGTCATACTTCATGTTCTCAAATGTGGCCTGTCTCACAACCGCATCCATATCCTCTTCACTCAATCCTTTCCCCAGAAACTTGCAGATTTTTGACACAGAACCTCTGAGATCCTGAAATAAATCAGAGTATGGTAAATTATGCACATTATAAGAAAGAAGACTTCAACAAAAGCCACAGCTAAGTATTGTTATGGGAGTGAAAAATGTAGGTGCTTATGCTGGCTAGAAAAATGGAGTTGGACCATGAAGTGACTTGCTTATGCCTTCTTGGTAAATTCATCTTTCACTGTGCACTGTTCTAGAGCGTATTTGGGTTCATTTGGGAACACTCATGTTCATTTTATCTGCGTTAACTCAGCAAGTATTGCGGAAGCAGATACCTATGTCAGACACTGCCCATGCAAAGGAGCAGGGGCACAGAGGCACAACGGGGAATCGGAGCTGGGAAGTCAGTACGCAGACCTGTGGGTAGAGAGTAGCTGTGTAACAGAATTGAGAGGAAGTCTCAACAGCGATGACAAACTTGTCCTGAGAATTCAAGCAAAGAGAGGTGTTTTCTAGATAGTCACATTGAAGGGGTGGAGTCCAGACAAAAGAAAGAATATACGCAGTGTTGCGGTTGCATGGAAGGTATGAGATACCAGGTTACAGGACTATCAGAATTTGAGTTTCCCTGGTGTAGCTTTACAGGTGCTTGGCCCAGATGAGAAAATGGGGAGAAGAGGCTGGAGGCAATGGAGAGGCCATAGTGTGAAGAATGTTACAAGGCCAATCATGGTCGGAGTCTCTCTTTGGTAGGTGTTACAGATTCAACAAGCGAGTCCAAGCAGGGTTTCATGAGCTTGGGGCAGGGTAACAGAAACCAGGGACAAATACTCAGCAGGTGGCAGCCCTTATTCTTGCCTGGCTTGCAGCTCTTTCTCCTCTTTCCTGCTTAGAGATCTTTGATGGTGTTCGGGCAGCAGTGTGCAGCCCCTGTCCCGTAATGATCCTGATTGATCCAAGATCCTCATGCACACCCATTGCTCTCTACAAGACATTCATCTAGGGTGGTCACAATGCCCCAATTTTGGTATTGAAACAGAAAGATGAAGTCAAACAGAAGCTTAAAAGAGTGATTTTCCTCCCAGTGATGAGATGGTAGCAAAGCAAGGCAAGGAAGTCATTCTTGTCCCACTTCCCTCTCTTTCTGCCATACATGCTGTCATCTGGGGACATGACTTTGGAGCTACAACAACCATCCTGCTACTATGAGAGGAGACATCATTGCCACACTAGATATGATAGGAAAGAAGGACAGAAAATGCCTGGGACATTCACGACATGCTGAAGATGCCACAAACAATATCAGGCTAGCCTGCCTCCGGGATTCAGACAATCAGTAATAGAACTTCTTCTGTTTTAATGCGTTCATCATTGACTACTGGGAGCTGCATTCCTTCTAATCATACACAGACATTCCACTTAATTTTTCATGCAGTGCTTAACCATACACAGATAAGATTAAAGTTTCCCATGGGATGCATTCCACAATGATGAATATAACATCTAGAAAGTTACCAGAATCAAAAGCAGAAAATTGATTTCATAATCCATCAACAGGTGACCAAAAATCTGGCTCACGAGAGTCAAACACGTGTATGGCCTCATAGGTTAAGAGACAATGCCTCACATCCAAGTACTAACCAGGCCCGACCCTGCTTAGCTTCTGAGATCAGATGAGATCGGGCACGTTCAGGGTGGTATGGGGGTTAAGGGGGTAGGAGAAGAATAAATGAAACAAGATGGGATTGGGAGGGAGACAAACCATAAGTGACTCGTAGTCTCACAAAACAAACTGAGGGTTGCTGGGGGGAAGGGGGTAGGAAGAGGGGGGTGGGGTTATGGACAATGGGGAGGGTATGTGCTGGGGTGAGTGCTGTGAAGTGTGTAAACCTGGCGATTCACAGACCTGTACCCCTGCCGATAAAAATATATGTTTTTAAAAAATAAAAATAAAAAATAAATTTTAAAAAAAGAGACAATGCCTCCTACACAGTCAGTTTTTGAAAAGAAAGTTCCAGTTAATTAATTGTAAATGACAACCTAGTAATCAAGGTCCAGGTTGATAGAAGAAAGAGGTCTCCTGTACACCTAATCCGGGATCTCAAATTTGATATTGTTTTTGGGTGTTCTACCCACTAACGATCAATTCATTCGTTCAGGGTGCCTTTCAGCTGCCATGAAGTCTCTGATGTCATGTTTCTCACCTTCTTCGTCTCCTCGTAGGTCATGAACTGAATGTTGAAGAGGCTTCTGTGCTCATACCAACCTTTGATGTGGTCAAACCAAAGACTTCCCATCACTGTGGGAAAAACAGATACATATTTAGGTAATTATGTTGAACAGGTTGAGAAGAAGCTACAGTTATGGGAGGTGCAGGAATCTTATAACATAGAAGGAAAAGGAAGTCTGTTTGCAGATACCTGATTTCCTCTGGCACCTGGTTATGGGAGAGCTATCAACTTTCCCATGGGAAACAATTACATGAACTCAAGGAACAATCAGTCTCTTAAAAATGCATTTCATATAGACAGAAAATCATCTACCCATAGGAAGAGAAAAACCGAACCCAGAGAACAGAGAAAGGAATCCTCTCCTCTTTGCTTCTCACCCTGTCCCTAAAGACACACAGAGCTATTTCCCTGCTGCATGCAACATGAAGGCTCCCCGATGGGTTACTTGAGCTCTGCACAGAGACTAATGTTAGTTAAGTCTCCTGTTCCAGATCATCATCCCTACGTCTGTAGGTGTTTCTCTTGCTCAAGCAGGCACACTGGCACCTCAGAAAAGAATGCAGGGGGCACCTGGCTACCTCCCAGGTTAGAGTATGCAATGCTTGATCATGGGGTTGTGAGTTCAAGCCCCACATTGGGCTTAGAGGACACTTAAAAATTTAAAAAATTTAAAAATATTAAAAAGAGAAAGGAATGTGGAACAGAACTTTGTCAAGTAGAGCTCCCCATGCAATAGGCTGTGCACAGCCCAATCTTGTGATCTAAATTGAGATGCTTCTCTCTGAGCTAGACTGGAAAACTGTAAGCTCATGAATCCCTTTTGCCATGGTTAGATGTAAATTTAAATATTTTCTGGTGATATAACTGTAACCTGATGGTCTCCTGAGAGGGAGCAGGAGTAAGCAAAATTTGTAACAATGCCTGGTCATAGTCATCCAAGACAACCCTACCAACTGCCTTGATACATTGATTACTGACCCCTGTTCAACTTAAGTTCATCATCTTCTCCCTGCCAAATTCACTAAGCTTAAAAGTTTACCACAGGATGCCAAACATGTTGCTTATGCTATAAATTATAGTTACCTCTTCCTTCGAGAAATCGTTTCATGAATTCCTCAAAGGTACCTGTAAATTGTGACGTCACATTCTTTGCAAAGGGAAAATATGAGCACATAACGTCCTTAGGGTTTCTGTATACATAAATAATCTGGAAAGAAAGGAGGTATTCATTATTTCTGAGGCTTTCATTCTCTCATATTTTTACCCTACAACCTTCCAATCGGATGAAGCCTATAGTCTTCACTTTACATTTCCCTAATCATGTCGTGTATATACTCAGCCCTCTTTGTATTTTGGGTTTCCCCTTCTCAGCCATGCCTCTCTCTTTACGACTGGCCTAGTGACTCTCAATTACTCCTCAAGACACACCTCCCATGGTACCTCTTCTCAACTCACCCTGACAGAGAGCAACAATAGTCTCTTGTCCCTATAGCAACAAGCTAATACATGCCACAATGACCCATAGCCATAAAATTGTATATCAATAGGAAAAACGTACTAAGATATTTTCAAATCATCTTGGAAAATTCATAGTGTGTTTTTTCATCCTTCAGCATATGGCTTACATAGTTCTTATTTATATATCTTTGTAGTGTAAACTGCAGGTACTTTTCATGCAGTACTTACTTCAGTATTTTTTGTATTGGAGGAATATAGGATTCGTTTTAAAAGTTGTTTGCTTTAAACAATCCAAAGGCACACTTTCATAAAACACCTAAGCAACCCATTGACATTAGAATATAAAATATCATCAATCTCTGTCCAACCCACATTTAAGTGGCTTATTCGCTGTGTGTACAGAATATTCAGGGGCCCTGGATGAAACCCAAGGCTTGTATTTTCACTGTGCAATGGCATGTATATATTGTGTGCCTCCTTCGGGAAGCATCTAGGAAAGCTTTCATTCACCTACTGCTCCCTGCACATTGCCCGGAGCCAACCTTAAGCTAGGCGATGGGAAGATGGATGTAAGCACTGAGTGGTCCCATTGTACTGGAAATAGAGCTCTTCTTGCATGGGGATTACCTGATATCAACAAAGTGATTGATAATATCAAACAACTGTCAGCAGTGGTTGATATCTCCATAAAGAAAGAAAAGATCCTCCTAAAGATGAAGGAAGAAGTTCTTTTCATTCCCTTTCTGTGACTCTTCCTGTCTCCTACTTTGGCCTTGAAAATGGCTTCTTGTCATTAATCTATATGTTTAGAGAAGTAAAATGTGACCTAGACCCAATGGTACAACTGAGTCACTTGTGCCACCTGTCCTGATACTAACTCTCTTAGGTAGATAATGACACATTTTTTAATACAGGGAATGTTGGGAATGTAATGATTTGAAGATAAAATCAAAATACCATCAGGATGTACACATACCACCTTTCTTCTTAAGGAGCGAAGGCAATGAGTGGAGGTTTCTAACGTGGAGGTCATTGACTGGGAATGGTTTTTTGAGAGTCATTTACTGCGATAGTTGGAGAAGATTGATATTGAGGTTTTTGAAGACAGAAGACAATAGCAAGCAGTTATTTTAGAAAGGGGAGAGGGGAGCAAAACATTTAAAATGTAAATTTGAGAATTGAGGCCATAAAAGTAAAATGAAGATACAACTTTTAAGTGTACTGGTTTTTTCCTAGCATGCTACCAGATTCATGAACACAGGCACAAATATACAAGTACTGGGTTTCACCAGAATTAGGGGTTGGCAGCTGATCATAATAGAGTTGGCTAGAGCAAGGGAATTGAGACAAAAGTGATTTGAATGTCAAATATGGAGCTATTGGTGGATGCGGAGAAGTGGAAGAGATGGATGAGAGAATGTGGAGAGGGAGTGGAGAGGTGGAGAGGGAGGGACTGGAGATCTGAATGTGGTGACTGGTCACTCCAGGGACAACTGAAAGGAGTGGGAGGCAAAGGAGGCAGCTCTCTGAGAACAAAGTGCTTCAAGTCAGGATTCAAGTTAGGACAATTACTGGTGATGCCTTTGTTCATTCACTCAACTCTACTACCCTCTGGACACTATTCCATGTGCTGCAAACTCCATCTCTCTCATGTTTACACTCTGGCCAGAAATGGACAATAAATAACAGGTACACAGATGGCAAATGGTGTCATGAATAAAGGCAGGTTTATACCACCTTATAAACTCCGGAGGTTGGTGAAGGAAAAGGTCACTGGAGGTGGTGTCAATACTATGAGGTTTGGCAGGGGTAGAGGTATGGGAGACCAGTGCAGAGCCTGAGGAGGTCAACATGAAGGAGGCAATCCTGCAGTTGCATGACCCCGAGAATGACTGCCTCTTTCCGTTGACCCCGCTGGTACAATTTGGCTCAGCCTTCTCTGGTGCTGAGAAAACACCATTCACTTCAAGTTAGAAATAATCCCGTGAGCAGCAGGAGTAGAGGGAGAGTGGAAAGTCATGAGTCAAGAGCTGAAATTATCAGTGGATGGAGGCGACTGATCCAGGGAGACGGAGAGACAATACTTTAGCAGAGATGAATGATTGCCTCTGAGGTTCCCTTGGAATTCCAAGGAACAAGGTACATTTGAAGAGAAAGTAGGCAAAAGAGGTAAAGTGTGAAAAAGAATGAGGGAGGGCACGCAGAGCAAACAGAAGAAATTGCTAGCATTTTATACATCCTTGCTAATACAGCTGATTCAAAAATGAAAGGATATATATTATATATGATATTATAACACCCTGTATAAAGTAAATTAAATGAACACATATATACTCTTTCATTTTCTAATGACTGCATTACTTGTATAATCAGAAAACAAAGGGTGCAAGATACAAATCTGATACTATGAGATAAGAAAACAGATGGCTATTGAAAATTGAAGTAAAGGGGTGCCTGAGCGGCTTAGTTGGTTTAGTGTCTGCCTTCAGCCCAGGTCATGATCCCAGGGTCCTGAGATCAAGCCCTGCATGGGAGTGGGGGTGAGAGGAGGGGTCCTTTACAGCAGGAAGCCTGTTTCTCCCTCAACCTGCCCTGCTTGTTCCCTCTCTCTCTCAAATAAATAAAGTCTTTAAAACAAAAAAGAAAACTAAAGTGTGTAAAATGCTACATTTGCCAACAGCTGGATGAGTGCACAGTGTTGATGTCCTGAAATGAAATGAAATAGTGAAAAAGAGCAGTTAGCTCTCAGCAGTCAGAGTCCATTTCCTACTTTGGCTTTTTTGTTCTTCAGCCCACTGGGAACCAAGTAGTGTGGGAGATGGGTAGAGAAGAGACGAGGCGATGGTCTTTCCTCAAAATCCATTTCTGGAGTTTTGTACTCAAAGAAGGGGACTCGGTCCATGGTTCTCAGTTTTCCAGTGCCTTTGCGATGTTCCTCAGAATAAATCAGACTTAATAATTGCTGAAACCAGATGGTTCCTGTAAAGAAATAATTTTGTTTTCAATGATGATCCAAAATGGAGGTAGATGTATCATGAATCAGAGTTTGTTACTATAATAAGTACAATGTAATTTTATCTGAATGGAATTGTTAACATATGTAAAGTGCAGTGTGGGAGAAAGAAAGCAAATGTGGCCTTTCTATTCCTGTTTCAGGAGATGCTCCATTTGAAACTCCGTGGGCATTTGTCCCACAGATTTATTCCTTGACTCTTCCATGTTTTCTTCTGCTTCACATATGGGACTTTCAAATGATCTTCTATGCCTGCCTCTCTACTTCCTTCCCCAACCCCACTCCTAGAACATGAGCCAAAAGAAGCCAAGGAAAAGGAAATCCATGGAAGGAGGCACTTCCCAGCTGTCGCCCTTCCCGCCATTTGCTTCTGCTCCTGTGATCTCCACTTTGGGAAACAATGTTCATTATAAATCCTTAAAGGAGGCTCCTGGACACCTACATGGAGGTGGGAAGGGAAAGATGATGCAGAATGTTGGACCTTTCGCTTTAAGTGGGATGTGACAATTCTTACTATGACTATGTCACCTAATTTCACTTAGAGTGGACATTTGTCACAAAGTATGTGGGTGTAATTGCCTGGTTATTTTCCTTACAGTTCATGTGCATGCTTCATATATGGGGCTTTAAGGTTGAAAACACACTTCATACAGGTAATCCTTCTGACATATCCAGGCAATGCCTTAAAAGACTTACCACAGCAAAAAGTCACAGGTCCCAGAAAGACTCAAATCAGCTTCTGAAATGAGAAAACCCACTGGCCCCTTGTCAATTCCCATCCCAGCCTTGCTTCCTAAGACCATCCCATCACCCATGCTAAGTAGCAGCACCCAGTGAGCAAGATCACGTTTGGGCATACATTCCCTGCGACAGGTGCAGCTGGTGTGCCCCTTATCTGGTCCACCCAGGACCTAATTTTAGGTGTTGTAGTCCTCCAGTGTTGCCCAGGGAAGACCAAGGACACAGAGGCCTTTGTGTTACCACAGCTGGAGCTCAAACTGAATGAAAACTCTTTGTTACAAAGCTCTGGAAGTCTTTCTGGCATCCTTTCAGCTTTCCCAGATAACAGACACTGCTTCTGCAGGAGGGATCACAGCTTGAGGGTAGCTGAGAAGTTATGTAGAATGCCACAGTTCTATAGAGACTCAATGAGAGAATGCAAAATCTCTGCACAGATTCAAAAATTCAGATGTGTTCAGCTTCTTCTCCCACTCCACTTTTCCTTTTGTTTTTTTAAGATTTTATTTCTTTATTCTTTATTTGAGAGAGGGAGAATGACAGAGAGGGATAACAATAGGGGAAAAGGGTAGAGAGAGAAGCAGAGTTTCCACTGAGCAGAAACCCTGAGGCGAAACTCAATTCCAGGATCCTGGGATCATGATCTGAGCCTAAGGCAGAAGTTAACTGAGGCACCCAGGTGTCCATGCCGCTTTCATTCATATTGAGTCCTTCTGTCTCTCTTTCTTTCCTTCTTCCTTTCTTTCTCTTTCTTCCTTTCTTTTCCTTCCTTCCTTCCTTTGTCCCTTTCTCCTCCCTTCATTCCTTTCTTTTTTTTCCCACCTATTTCATGGTCAGGTGTTAGCATGATGATGTACTAAGCTTTTCCCTTCAGTTCTTCATATAGTAACATCACCGATTCTCAGTAGGCCCTCCCTGATCTGTTATTCCTTCCTTTATCTCATCTCCTGCTTTCATCGAACCCCTAACCCACCACAGACAAGCAGGCTTTGGGGCTTTGGGGCTTAAAATGCATACTTTACTGGAATGTGTTCTTATGAAATAGGTATTATTGTATGTGTTTGTATTTTCTTTTCGATTTTTTATAACTTATTTATTTTACAGACAGAGATTACAAGCAGAGAGAGAGAGGGAAGCAGAATCCCTGCTGAGCAGAGAGCCCGATATGGGGCTCGATCCCAGGACCCTGAGATCATGATCTGAGCTGAAGGCAGAGGCTTAACCCACTGAGCCTCCCAGGAGCCCTGTGTTTGTATTTTCAATCCATGGGCATCATATGTTTCTGTTTACCACTGTACACTGTAGTTTAACATTTATTTATATGCTACGTCTGATCCATTGTGTCTATCAGATGCTGTTTCAGGGTGTGCATTCCCACACTGTCCTGTCTGCTCTCCCCCAACGGACACCCCCCCACCAAACAATCTGCAGTGTACACTCTCACTCCTGCTCCCTAGGCACCCGCATGAGATTTTCTTGGAGGCAAATAGGCAAGACAGGAATTGTCTCCTATGTCTGGACTGCGGTCGTGCAGGGAGTACCAGATGGCTCTTTGGGGAATCTGCTTCAATCTACTCTCTCAGGGGAATATGTTAATGCATGCAGATTTCTATGCACTCCCTGTCAGCATTCAGAGTTATCCACCCCTCCAGTGTTGTTCAGTCCAGGAGATGTAAATGAACATATCATTGTTTCCCAGTTTGGGGAAGTTGTTGGTATTGGTGGAGGGTGATTTTTTTCTGCACATTTCCCGCTCGTTTCTTTGGCTCTTTTTATAAAGTCAGATTGCTGTGTCCTACTTCTTGATTTATAGTCCTACTACATTGTAGATCATTTTAAATTGTCAACATTGCAAATATTTCCTCTCTTCCTGTCCCCTATGATACGAACATCACTAAGATAATAAGCTTCTGCACGGTGAAGGAAAAAATCAATAAAACTAAAAGGCAATCTTCAGGATCACCTGGGTGGCTCAGTGGGTTAAGCCTCTGCCTTCTGCTCAGGTCGTGATCCCAGGGTCCTGGGATAGAGCCCTGCATTGGTCTCTCTGCTCAGCGGGGAGCCTGCTTCCCCCTCTCTCTCTGCCTGCTTCTCTGCCTACTGCTGATCTCTGTCTTTCAAATGAATGAATAAAATCTTTTAAAAAATTTTTTAAAAAGGCAATCATCAGAATGGGAGGAGATACATGCAAATGACATATCTCATAAAGGGTTAGTATCTGAAGTCTTTAAAGAACTTTTCTAACTCAACATTCAAAAAACAAATAATCCAGTTAAGAAATGGGCAAAAGAAATGAATAGACTTTTTTTCCAAAGAAGACATACAGATGTCTGACAGACACATGAAAGATGCTCAACATCACTCATCATCAGGGATACGAACCAAAAGTGCAATGAGATAAAATGACACACCTGTCAGATGGCTGAAATTACAGCCCAGGACACAACACATATTGGGAGGATGACATAAAGGAGAACCCTCTTGCAATGTTGGTGGGAATGTAAACTGGTGTAGCCAGTTGGAGAACAGTATGGAGGTTCCTCAAAAAATTAAAAATAGAACTATCCTATAACTCTGGAATTGCACTATCAGGTATTTACCCAAACGTACAAAAATCCTGAAATAAAGGGATAAATGCACCCCCCATGTTTGTAGCAGCATTATCAACAAGAGCCAAATGATGGAAAGAGCCCAAACATCCATTGACTGATAAGCAGATAAAGAAGATGAATGATGGAATATTATTCAATCATCAAAAAGGATGAAACCTTGCCATTGCTATGCTGTGGATGGAGCTATAGTATATTATGCTAAACAAGACACGTCAGTCAGGGAAAGACAATATGATTTCGCTCGTATTGTGGAATTTTAGAAACAAAACAGATTAACAGGGTCGGGAGAAGAGAGAGAGGGAAACCATACAATAGTCTCTTACTAGAGAAAACAACTACAGGGAACAGAGTTGAATGACAAGAATGATGAGATGGAGGAGGTCCACAATAAACTGGGACACCAACAGGGAAATGACCCATTTACAGAAGGAGGTCACAGCCATTGAGACCAAGCTTGAACAGAAATGTAGTGACCACCACAATCTGCTACGAGATGCAGGACATCACGTGGGCACTGTGTAAGGACACTATGGATGGCATTAGTCAGGGAGAGTGTAGGTCCCAGAGGGAAGATTTAGTGAGTAGTTCCCAGTGAACTTCCAGTAACTCTGTGTGAGAAGCCCTCATTGAGCTTGACTACGGTGACCTGTGTGAAGATCTGAGGATGCCCAGGCTGAGGAGATCAAACAGGAGGTGAGTACACTGCGGCAGAAGCTGAGTGAGCAGCGAGTATACTCCAGCATATAGCTGCCCCTGACATGAAAGCTGTGGAAAATCTAGGAAGTATCTGAGATAAGTTTTAGAAGACCTCAGATGAGTTGGAGGGAGCCCAAATGCAAGCCAGGAAAGCCAAGCAGGCATTTGAACAGATCAAGAAGGAGCACCTTGACTGCTTCAATGTTTGCTTTGAATGTGTGGCCACCAAAATTAATGAGATCTACAAGCCTTATCTGACAACAGAGTACTCAGACATTTCTGAGCCCTGAGAACCCTGAGGAGTCCTACTGGGATGGCACCAACTACAACTATGTGGCTCCTGGAAAACTCTTATGGTCTATGGACAATTTGTCAGTGCTTGAGAGAACAGTGGCTGCTCTAGCCTTGTTCCTGGCCATCCACAATAACAAGCCAGCCCCCTTCATTATCCAGGATGAGAATGATGCTGCCCTGGATGACACCAACATTGGCAAGATGGTCAATTACATCAAAGAATAATCAACTTGCCACATCCAGGCCATTGTCTTCTCCTACAAGCAGGAGTTTGACACCAAGGCTGAGAGCCTCTTTGCAGTCTACCTTGAGCAAAGAAACTGTGTCAACAGCAAAATCCTGACCTTCCACCTCACCAAGTACCCAGATGCTCCCCCCAACCCGAATGAACAGTAGCAATAATTCTGCCCTATCTCTGTCCCTATGCTACACCTCTCCCAACCTCTGGATATTTAGCCCAAACCTTCCCCTACCTCTTGTCCCTAACTGGTATAATTATGGGATTCAGGCACAGCTGTCAATTACCAAGTGGAACAGAGGTGATACTAGGTCTGGAGCAAAAATTCCTCAGGTACAAGGAGCACCCAGGCCTTTGGAAGAAGGTGCTAAACTGAACTGAGCTGAACAGGGCCATCTGTCCATTAACCCTATCCCTTCTCCCAAGCCTCCCCCCATCATCACCCATAATCATGGGTTCCTTGAGCCCCTTGCATCTTCCTTGTATATGTGTATGTATATGTGTATATATGTGTCTTCGTGTGTATATATGAATGTGTTTGCCAAATAATAAAGATATTGGAGACCCATCCTTAGAAAAGCCTAGGCTGAATCTGATCTCAAGAGAGCTCTGTATGACAGCACCCCAGGGCTGGGCAGAGGTATTTAGGGACTCAACGGAATCAGTCAGGTGAAACTGCCCTCATTCACTCATTGGTGTTTTCATTCATTTGTTATCCATCAGGCATATCCTGAGCATTCTTTATTTGTCAGGCTCTTTTCTTGAAACACAGAGCTGAATCAGATATAATCTCTACCCTCCTACTGAGGAGATGCAGTGGGTTCCTGATTTCTCATGGTCAGCGGAATCATATTTGTACATACTTTGAATGACAGAAGGGGATGATCACCTCCAGGCTTCCTGAGCTGAAGCTTGATGAATTGGTAGGATTTGGTTGGGCACTAGGAGCAGAGCCTGGGCTCTAAGGACAGACAGCTATGGGTTCTAGTCTTCTTTTTAAGTCACTTACCTGTTTGTTGTTGGGCACATCTTTTGACATTTCCGTGCCTCCGTTTCCTTGTCTGTAAAAATGGAGCTAACAATATGACCTACCCCATATGATTTAATGATGTCAAGCTCCTTGCTGGGGGCCTTATCCGTGCTTGGTGCCCAGTATGCACTGACCCATCAGAAGACAAGCCTTCTCATACCTAGACCCCCGAGAGCTCTGATCCCAGTTGTTGGGGACAGAAGGAGCCTCCAAATCTGGGACATGCTAAATGCCTTGGTTATTGAGAAAGTTCCACGGCCCCACTGGGATTTACCTGGTAACTGAAGGGCCTAACGAAGCCTCTAGCTTTAGTCATGTATAGTATCCAGGTGCCTGGGCTCCAACCTGGATTGTGAGGAAGTAGAGGAGAGGTAGACTGGGCCACATCCTGGCCGAGTGTGTGTGACGGTCCTTCTGAGAACTAGGTGTGTCAGCTGCAGGGACCATGCAGAGGAAGCACAGCCTGCTGCCATGAGGTCAGCATTTGCTCATTCACGTACACTGTCAGATCGTCACCTTGTCCTGATTGTCTACTGCATTATGTTTTGTAAATGTTCAACCAGATCTAATTACTCAAGTGTCCCATGAATCCATTCTCTAAAGACATAGATTTATAAAAGATCTAGCCCCTTTCGACTACCATTGGCTGTCTCTCTCAAATTGCTGTTATGTATGTTAGACTTTTTTAGGCTTTGATATATATGAGTTCATTGAAACTATTATGGTGTATTTCATACAAATGGTATCTTGAGTTGTTCTGAAATTGCTTTTTTCACTTAACCTTGTTTTTGAGATCTATGTGTGTTGTTTTTGCTAAATGTAGCTTCAACTCATCCTTTGCAATGCCTAATAGAGTGTCATCATATGGATCTTTCAGACCTTTCCCATTTCTTTTGTGATATCTAGTTAAGACAGTTTTCCACTTTTGCTATTACAAAACACGACACAGGAACATTGTGTGTGTGTGTGTGTGTTTGTGTGTGTGTGTGTGCGTGCACACGTGTGTATGTATGTTTACCAAGGGTTGCTTCCTTGAAGTTCAATGCAGAGTCATAGGCTATTTAAATTTTTGTTTTAAATAGATACTTCTTGTGTAAACCTGGCGATTCACAGACCTGTACCCCAGGGGATAAAAATACATTATATGTTTATAAAAAATTAAAAAAAAATTATAGATAGATACTTCTAAATTGCCCTCCTGTATTATTATTTTTCTTGAGGTTATCTTAAGTGTAACATTGTTATCTCCTTTAGTTTCATTCTAAATAGTGACATCTGTAAAACTATGGATTTGATGTGCTAATTATATATTTTTCTAATACATATTAAATGGCATAACTCAAAAAAGTTTTCTGTACAGCAAAGAAAACTATCCACAAAAAGAAAAAGCAGCCTATGAAGAGAGAAAAATATTTACAAATCATTTTAGATAAGGGGTTAACATCAAAATATATCAAGAACTCATAGGACATAACAGCAAATATAACAAAAACAAAACATGAGCAAAGGCTGTGAAGAGACGTGCATGTATATATACACTCACAAAGATGAACATACGCATTATACATATGTCTATATGTTTCAGTCTGATCTGAGTGCGATAGCAAAAGTAGACCCAAATAGTTGGGGATTATTACACATTATGGAATTAGTATATGTTAATTTTCCTCCTTCTCATGCACTTGGTTATTAGATACAATTTCAACTCTCTGTCCAAAGTAGGTGCCTAAATGGTAAATATTTCTACATCCTTTCCAAGCCCATTTTATCACCTTAGTGTTTGATAGGGTGTCTTCAACATAGTTACTTCAGTATTCTCTCCATTTCCTTGTCCACATCAAAAATAACTTCTAGGGACACCTGGGTGGCTCAGTTGGTTTAGCATCTGCCTCAGGTCAGGTCATGATCCCAGGGTCCTGCTTCTTCCTCTGCCTGCCACTCCCCCTGCTTGTGTGCTCTCTTGCTGTCTCTCTCTGACAAATAAATAAATAAATCTTAAAAAAAATAACTTCTACCTACATTATAAAAGACCTGCTTCATAAGATATTAAATTCAGTTGACACTATAATATCCAATTGATTATGTGTATATGTCTGTATAGAATACTACTAAAAATCAGAGTTCCCACATTATAAAAGTATCATGTAATTCCTTAGATTAACTATTAGAATAGAGAACTTACCAGATTTGGGATATGTGACTATGAAGACATCATTTTCTCTGATTTCAAAATTATCTAAATTCTCTATAAAGCCAATATCAAGTGGTAATCGATTAAAATAATATCCTTTAAATTTGAATAAGAATTTGTCCATGTCTTCCATACTTCAGTCACCTGCAAAAGAGAGACAAAACGATTGGAAAGAAATTAGTAAAATTTTATGTTTTCTTCCCTTCTGTCTCTCAGCTGCTGACCATATGCTGTGAAAAGAAATTGATATCTTGTTTTCTTCACTGTCACTGAAAGCTGGCTGGCTCTGAAAGTTACTGTCCTGGGTTCTGAGTGTGAGTTTGGTCTAATGCCAAGAGCCAGCTGTTCACGGGCTAGAGGTTAGTTTTATGGGTATGTGCTCCATTTTTATAGCTACAGAGAAAATGGTTTAAAAATAATTTTTGTAGTTGCAAAAAAAGATACTTTAATCAGAAAGCATACCTATATATGTATATATACAAACACACATACAAATGAACATACAAGTTGGACTTGAACAGGCTTTAGACACACTTGTCCCCCAGCCACCCCTTCATCACCTGGGATTTACCCCCTACCCCGTAACTGAAGTACAATGTGTTAGGTTCCAGCAGGTTTCTTGAAGCTTTTCTTTATATATTTTCTGGGTGGGATTTATGTATTCATGTTCTCTTTGGTAACTTTAAATTTTGTTTTCTTTCTTAACGTGCCCCTTGTTTAGAATGACTGGGGTATAGCAAGCATGAGTTAACAGACATGACTATCTTCCAGTTTGCATTTGAGCAATTCATCTGTCCATTATGACAAAATGAACAAAGGCACAAAGTAAAAGTCTGAGAGAAAACACTCAAATAATGGTTGACACACAGAAAGTGCAAAAACAGCCTCATGAATCATCTTTTATGTGTACTTTTTGCCATTCATTATTACCTCTCATTAACCATATGGAAGATAATCTTGAAGGCTATGAATCCTGAGGTTATAGTGGACTTGGGGTTTCTTCAGATGACTTTTTTCTGTTTCACAAAGTAGTTGGACATAGGAACAGCTGAGAAAATCAGAGCTTCAGAATCCCACAATTTGAAAGCAATTCCAGGATGCCCCAGAAAGGGTCATTATAAGACAAGGGGAAATAAGAAATCTTTCAAATATATTGTGACAGTCACACTGTTAATAAAAAACAGAGAACTGAAGACTCTCTTTACAAAGGAGATTTGGGAAAGCTGCAAAGTAGTTGGAATCATCAACATGAATTGGTAGCCAGGGAAGAAAGGTGGACCAGACAGGGAAGGGTAGAGGAAGAGAGAGGAGATAAGTTACTCTGCCACTAGAGTTATTTAAGGCTCCTCATCTTTGCCGTCCTTGGTGTTCAAAGAAACAACCTCATTTACAGCTCCATACCCATTGGGCTCTAATGTTAACTTCCATTATCAAGGAGCACTGACTCCCTAACAGAAGCTAATTCCATATTTTGGGATCAAAACAATAACAATTAGGTTTAACATGTTGACTTTTTCATGAACAAAACATAATTCTACTACCTTATATTCTACTTATATTACATCCTAGTATAATTACTACATTCATGGTGAATTAAATATTTCTTTTAGTGTATGTTCTTAAATGTCTAAATAAATATTTAGAATCAGAAAATGTCTCAGTTCATTGGAAATCAAAGCACAAGAAGGACAGTGTAGTCTTGCTTCCTGCAGAGGAGCTGATACCTTACACATTTTTAGCCTAGTGTTTAGAAAAACACCAAACACCTAAAACTGCATAACTAGTAAGTACAGACAAGAGAAAGGAAACAGAGAGTATGCTATCCCCAAAATTATCAATCTGGCACGTGGATGATGTTTTAGTTGAAAGCAATTAAGACCCAGCAGATTCACAACAGCTTTCTACTCTCTCTGCCTAAAAGGATTTAGATAGAGAGCTACATCAGGTATAGAGCTCCTACCACATGTAACTTTTTCTATTAGAAAGACTCTTTTGGTGGCATGGTACACATCTCTACCACATATGAGCTCTCCTCATCTTCCTGTGAATTGTCTTCCTCCTCCTTGACTTCTGAAGCATTTCACCCCCTTCTCCTTACCTTAGGATGATTTATAAGACTAAAATTTCAGACTGCCTTTGACTCATCATGACTTTGTGGGTCTCCCACACACATGTAGTTATATTTCTGTTCTGTGAATTTATCTGACTTATGTCAATTTGATTATTAGACCATCCAGAGAACCTAGAAGGGAGAAGGGAAAAGTGGTTCATCCCCAAGGTAGAATGAAGCCACTTACCTTAGAGTTCTTTGAAATGAAGTATGAACTTCTGATATGAAGGCAAGTGAGAAGAACAATTGTGTGCTGATGAAGAAGAAAGACACAGGTAAAAACTATGTTTGCACAGAGATTTAATACTTCACCAGTTAGAGTTCCCAGAATCAATAAATCACTAAAAAGGAGGGGTTGGCTGATGTTATCCATTAGATCGTCCAAAGGTCTAGTGAATAGCACTGAGGCATTTACAATAAGTATTTGAAAATAAATGCTTCAAGCAACTCAGCGATGCTGGCTAGGGTTCAAAGTCTGTGGTTTTGAATTATAGCAAAAAATGTGCATGTATGCTTGCTGTCCCACTCATGATACTGTAATGGCCAGAGACCAGTAGTACAATGGATAAGGTTGCTTCTTCTTCAATAGCAGGAGTATCGGTGTCTTTGATTCTTTGTGTTGTGTCTTATGGAACAGAATGGAGAAAAAGTGTAGTGTGAAGAATTGAGAAGTTGAGGAGAGAAATCCATGTCTGCCAGAAGAAAATACATGTATTTTGAGGGATTAGACACTCTCCCAAATTCCACAATATGTTGGACACAAATGTAATGTCATTTAACCCCCAAACACCACTTGCCTGAATTAAACCCCTTGATGGTCTTACAGTTGGCGAGGTCTTCATACCACTATACCACAGAGCAGGAGATAGGTCCTGGGTTGGCTCTTCAGGGACTGTTTTGTGTCCTCTTTCTCAGGGGTTCCACACTCTGTCTAGTTTGTCCTCCAAATAGAATGGTCATAAAGTCTAGACATTCATAGGTTTATTCGAATTCCCTTTCTATGTACTTGGACTATTGACCCTAGATGCTGCTTCTCTTTTATTGTTATCTCTTCCTGAATAATAAACATCTCTTCACATCCACACAGATAAATCACCACTCGCTGGCATTTCTTGACGATGGCATGCATACTATCAGATTTGGAAATTGACTCAAGCCTTCCTAATGCATGTTTTCTTGCCCCTCTTCTGTAAATCCTCCACCAGGAAAAGGTAGCTTGTGTCTCTCACTTAGAATGACTCTCAGGAACTTTAGAGTTCCTCTTTGGTTTCATCTTTCCTATTGTCTCCATTCATTAAATAAAGTTTGATCTAAGGAAGGCTTTAATCCCTTTTATTGGAGAAATTTTACTGCCCAGAAAATAAATGTTTAATGTGACAGAAATCTGACCTGGCAGTTATTCAGAAAACCTTCTCCTCACAGTGTTCTCTAGATTAAAATGTAACACATTCCATGAAGCAAAAGTTGTCATTCCTAGAAAGCAATCATTGAGAGTCCCCAAAATAAGTAACTTCAGGGAAGTAAACTGAAACTTCTGGTTATGCAACTTCTCATTATTTGCCAAATTATGAGGGTGAGAAATGGAAAATTACCTGCTTAAGGGGTTTACGTACAACCTCTGACCCAGAATTGGCTGACTGCTAAGCTATATTGGCCTTGTCTTAAATATAACCCAAGAATTAAGAAAAGAAATCTAAGCAGTAACATCAGAGTGTGCACATGCTGGGGATAGACTGCATAGAATTAGTTCTCATAAGTCACTATACGATAAAATTAAAAATAGAATAAAGTAGAAAAGCATCAACCATTTCCAGGATCAGTTCAGAATCCTAAAGTGCCCAGTTTTCACAAAAAAGTACCATATGCTGAAAAACAGGAAAGGAGGACATACATGCAGGAAAAAAGAACAATTAAAAACTGTGTGTTGGGCTTAAAGTAAAGCATGAAATCATCCCTAATACCTGGCTTGCTAAAAGGTAACAGGGAGGTCACTAAGGACAGGGAGGGTTTCTGGGAAGGGCATAGGCCTTTGGAATGCAGAGACCACTGTGACCATTGTGCCCTGGGAATGCTGAAGGCAGTTGCCTTTCCCAAAGCTTTCTTAGCCCAAACAGCCACCCTGTGATCTGAGAGATGAATGCATTTTCCCCTAGGCTATGTGTAGCAAACTCATAGAATATGCAGATTAGCATATCGTATTTTTCCCATAAACAGACCCTCCTACTTCCAGTAAGACCCCTTGTCACACATCATGGGTTTGAAAACCAGTGTTAAAGATTTATGATTTCAAAAAACCACCTTCTAGTTTCATTGATACATTCTACTGTATCTCTAGCTTCTATCCCATTGATCTCTGCTCTAGTCCTGATTATTTCCCTTCTTGTGTGTGGAGTTGGTTTAATTTGTTATTGATTCTCCAGTTCTTTAAGGTGTAGAGACAGCTGGTGTATTCTGGATTTTTCAGTTTTTTTGAGAGAGGCTTGGATGGCTATGTATTTTCCCCTTAGGACCACCTTTGGTGTATCCCATAGGTTTTGGACCCAAGTGTCTTCATTCTCATTGGTTTCCATGAATTGTTTAAGTTCTTCTTTGATCTCTTGGTTGATCCAAGCATTCTTAGGCAAGGTGGTCTTTAGCTTCCAGGTGTTTGAGTTCCTTCCAAACTTTTCCTTGTGATTGAGCTCCAGTTTCAAAGCATTGTGATCTGAGAATATGCAGGGAATAATCTCAGTCCTTTGGTATGGTTGAGCCCTGATCTGTGACCCAGTATGTGGTCTATTCTGGAGAAGGTTCCATGTGCACTTGAAAAGAATGAGTATTCTTTTTTTTTATCATGCTTATTATTTTCATCATTATTATTATTATTATTTTTTAAGAATGAGTATTCTGTTGTTTTAGGGTGGAATGTTCTGTATATATCTATGAGGTCCATCTGGTCCAATGTGTCATTCAATGCTCTTGTTTCTTTATTGATTTTCTGCTTGGATGATCTGTCTATTACTGAGAGAGGCATGTTAATATCAATAAACCATTGGCCACACTAATCCAAAAGAAAGGAGAGAAAGCTCAAATTAATAAAATTATGAATGAAAAGGGAGAGATCACAACTAACACCAAGGAAATAGAAACAATCATCAGAAGTTATTATCAACAGTTATATGCCAGTAAGTAAAGCAACTTAGATGAAATGGATGCATTCCTGGAAAACTATAAACTCCCAAAATTGAACCAGGAAGAAATAGACAACCTGAATAGACTGATATCTAGTAACAAGTTTGAAGCAGTGATCAAAAACCTCCCAAAAAACAAGAGCCCAGGACCTGATGGATTCCCTGGGGAATTCTACCAAACTATTAGAGAAGAAATAACACCTATTCTCCTGAAGCTGTTTCAAAAATTGAAGCAGAAGGAAAACTTCCAGACTCTTTTTATGAAGTCAGCATTACCCTGATCCCCAAACCAGGCAAAGACCCTACCAAAAAGGAGAATTTCAGACCAATGTCCCTGATGAATATGGATGCTAAGATTCTCAACAAGATCCTAGCAAACAGGATCCAACAGCACATTAAAAAGATTATCCACCATGACCAGGTGGGATTCATCCCTAGGTTACAAGGATGGTTCAACATTCACAAATCAATCAATGTGATAGAACGAATCAATAAGAGAAGAGAGAAGAACCACGTGGTCCTCTCAATTGATGCAGAAAAAGCATTTGACAAAATCCAGCATCCATTCCTGATTAAAATGCTTCAAAGTATAGGGATAGAGGGAACATTCCTGAACTTCATAAAATCCATCTATGAAAAACCCACAGCAAATATCATCCTCAATGGGAAAAAGCTTGCAGTCTTCCCATTGAGATCAGGAACATGACAAGGATGCCCACTCTCACCACTCTTGTTCAACATAGTATTAGAAATCCTAGCAACATCAATCAGACAACAAAGGGAAATAAAAGGTATCCAAATTGGCAATGAAGAAGTCAAACTCTCTCTCTCTTTGCAGATGAACTGATATTTTATATGGAAAACCCAAAAGACTCCACCCCCAAACTACCAGAACTCATACAGCAATTCAGTGATGTGGCAGGATACAAAGTCAATGTACAGAAATCAGTGGCTTTCTTATACACTAACAATGAAAATACAGAAAGGGAAATTAGAGAAACAATTCCATTTACTATAGCAACAAGAACTATAAGATACCTGGGAATAAACCTAACCAAAGTGGTAAAGGATCTGTACTCAAGTAACTACAGAACACTCATGAAAGAAATTGAAGAAGACACAAAAAGATGGAAGACCAGTCCATGCTCTTGGATTGGAAGAATAAACATTGTTAAAATGTCTATACTGCCTAGAGCTATCTATACCTTTAATGCCATTCCAATCAAAATTCCACCAGTATTTTTCAAAGAGCTGGAGCAAATAATCCTGAAATCTGTATGGAATCAGAGACCCCGAATTGCTAAGGAAATGTTGAAAAAGAAAAACAAAACTGGGGGCATCACATTACCTGATTTCAAGCTTTACTACAAAGCTATGATCACCAAAACAACATGGTACTGGCATAAAAACAAACACATAGACCAGTGGAACAGAGTAGAGAGCCCAGATATGGACCCTCAACTCTATGGTCAAATAATCTTTGACAAAACAGGAAAAAATATACAGTAGAAAAAAGACAGTCTCTTCAATAAATGGTGCTGGGAAAACTGGACAGCTATATGTAGAAGAATGAAACTTGACCATTCTCTTACACTGTACACAAAGATAAACTCAAAATGGAAAAAGACCTCAACGTGAGACAGGAATCCATCAGAATCCTAGAGGAGAACATAGGCAGCAATCTCTTTGATGTCAGCCACAGAAACTTCTTTCAAGATATGTCTCCAAAGGCAAAGGAAACAAAAGCGAAGATGAACTTTTGGGACTTCATCAAAATCAAAAGCTTCTGCACAGCCAAGGAAACAGTCAACCAAACAAAGAGGCAACCCACGGAATGGGAGAAGATATTTGCAAATGACAGTACAGACTAAAGGTTGATATCCAGGATCTATAAAGAACTTCTCAAACTCAACACACACAAAACAGATAATCATGTCAAAAAATGGGCAGAAGACATGAACACACACTTCTCCAATGAAGACATACAAATGGCTATCAAACACATGAAAAAATGTTTATCATCAGTAGCCATCAGGGAGAATCAAATTAAAACCACATTGAGATACCACCTCACAGCAGTTAGAATGGCCAAAATTAGC